GAATCAGTAGCAGCCCTACAAGTTTGCTCCTGGGTGTCAGATTAGGCCCTGTAATCTCTAGCCCAGGGGTGGGAAACCTGCAGCCTCGAGGCTACATGTGGCCCTCTAGGCCCTCCAGTGCAGCGGAATCCAAACTTCACAGATTTGATCGAAGGGCCACATTTGAGGACCTAGAGGGCCACATGTAGCCTCGAGGCTGCAGGTTCCCCACCCCTGCTCTAGCCACTAGAATCCAAGTTTTAGTGGCCTTTTAAAAGTCTTATAATATTTGTTTCTCTGTCCCCTGTAGACCATGTTCATTGATAGCAATTCAAATCCCAGCGCTGCCACATTAGGACTTGGGTTACTATGGACAAGTCACTCAGCTTTTCTAGGTCTCAGTTTCCTCATCTGTAAATTGATAGGATTAGCCTAGTTGACCTCTGAGATCCCTTCTGGCTACAGATCTGTGATTCTATGATCTGTCTAACAGGTTTCAAGAAAGCTCCTGCTGCTGCTCTGTGTAGAATGATGGCACTTTGTCAGAAAACTATTGTTATCAGTGAAGACCCAGTTATTTTGAGTCAGCAGTACATCTTTGAGGCACAAAAAAATCAGATGCCTGTAATACATATAAAGACCAATGAACCATCTTAGTTTGCAGCTTTCTTTGAAGAAGCTTTGTGAATACTAAAGACCTAACCAACTAAAGTCATTCTTCTGAAACCTTCCTTACATATTTCTTTAAGAACAAACAGAAAGCTGTTTTACTATATTTGAGATATTGAAAGGCAGTGTTGCATCATAGTGGAAAGAGAGCTGGCCTTAAAGACTGGGTGACTTGAAGTCTTATGTCTGACAAATACTGGTTGTGTGACCCTGTGAATGTCACTCGGTGCTCTGTAAGTTGCAGAGAATGTACTAGACTGCATTGATGGAGGGAGATAAAGGGGGACTACCCTTTAATCAATGAAATCATAGATCCAGCACCTATCCTTTGAGATACTAGAAAAATAGATTTCCCATATAATAATAATAACAATAGCATTTATGTAACACTTTAAGGTTTGTAAAGCATTTTATAAATATTGTCTCATTTATCCTTGTAACAACCCTGGGAGGTAGATACTATCATTATCCCAATTTTACAGATAAAGAAATTTAAGCAAAGAGAAGTTAAGTTATTTGCCCAGGGCCACATGCTAGTAAGTGTTGGGCTGGATTTGAACTCAGATCTGCCTGCCTTCAAGGGCCACATGTGGCCTTCTAGGTCCTTGGGTGCAGCCTTTTGACAGAGTCCAAGTTTTACTGAACAAATTCTTTTATCAAGGGGATTTGTTCTGTGAAGTTTGGATTCAGTCAGAGGGTTGCACTTGAGGACCTAGAGGATCACATGTGGCCTCGAGGCACAGGTTCCCCACCCCGATCTAGAGCATCTGATTTTCAGACTCCTCACTTTTCCAGGTTAAGATCATTAAGACACAGTCTTTCATCAAACTGATCAGCTTCCAGAGGGTATAGAATATTCTGCTTTGGGAGACATAGAAAGTTCAGAAGAGGTAATTCCTGCCCTGTGGAGTTTACAACCAAATAGAAGAATGACACATATACAAATAACTGTATAAACCAGACTTCTGATTTTGTTAGTGTTGATAACTCCCAGAAAAGAACTCCCTTATTCAATTGATCAACAGAGATCTTTAAAGTGACTACAGTGTGCCAGGACTATGAATAGGTCCTGGGAATACAAAGACAAAAAGATGAGTCCCTATCCTTAAGGAGATTACATTCTATTAAGGGAGGCATTACACACACATAGAAATATTTATGTTTATGTATAAACACACATATACATATTTGTGTATATATCTATACAAATATACATCTACACTCATTTAAAAGAGATAGATACTGTCTTACTATGCTTACATTAGATTAAACATATTTCTTTTGTCCCATTACAATTTAGTATCATTTTTTTTGGTGGAGTGGACTTAAGGTATAAAGAGTTCAGCAACATCTAAGCTAAAACTATTTTAATCATCTCTTAACATGGCATTTTTTTATCCCAAGAAGCTGGCTCACTCCTTCTTCCTTCTTCATCTTGCAAATAAACTCCTATTGGCTATAGAAATTTGCACAAGCATCTGGTCATTCTAAGCTTTAATTATCCTAAGATCATAGTATTTCATGCTACTCATTTATATTTATCCTTGACATTGAATCTCTTCTTCTACTAAAGAATCTAAGAATATCAGAGTTTCCTATGCAATCGCACTGGATTATTCTGATGCTTTCCTCTTTTCTTCTTTATTTGAAACCATTAAAATTTTGTCTCTTGAGTCTCCCATCCCACTTATGCTGCAGACACTTAAAGGCAGATTTACTTACAGGGGTGGGGAAGCTGCCGCCTTGAGGCCACATGTGGCCTCTAGGTCCTCACGTGCAGCCCTTTCAAAGGGCCATACTTGAGGACCTGGAAAGCCACATGTGACCTTGAGATTGCAGCTTCCCCACCCCTGAGTCTTAACCCATCCCAATGGGTTAGCATCTCCCTCACAGGGCTGTTTTGAGGATCAAATATATTCAAATGCTTTGCAAACCTTATAGAATTATACAGTATGAGTTAACATTTACTATTATGAATTTTATTATTTTAGAATACCAGGCCAGAAGATCATATCTGTCTCCTTCAGAATGTCTTGAAATTTGTTTTCCTGAAATCAGAGTTGAGGGGTAGTGTGGTATGATGGACAAAGAGATGGCATTCAGATCCTGCCTCTGGACATTTGACATTTAAGTGCTTCTCTCAGATTATAGGATACAGAACAGATGCCTGTCTCTCTGCATTGGTACAGGGAGTTTCTTCACTTTACACATGGAATCCTTAACCCAGGAAATGAGCAAAATTCAGTCTTCACTATCTCTATTACAAAGGTTGATTTTTTAGAAATTGCTTATACTTCCACATCATGCTCTGCTTTGTAGATTTCTACTTGCTCACTTCTTGACATTGGTTTTGACTTCTCTCTTCCTCTTCCTTTTTTACTTTCTTTCTGTATTATGTCTTGTACTCCAAGAGCACTTCAGCCTTCTGTAATAGACTAGAGCTTAGAGAGATATGTTCCTCACATCTTTATACCTTCTCTTCTGGCAGAAAGAGCAGCGCACACTTGTAGAACTGATAATTCTCTCAGGCAGGACGGAGAATATGATCCACTTAAAACCAGTCCCCTCAGTATCTGCATTTGCTAGGTCAAAAGGTGAACACTTGTCTCAGGCAGCTTCCCTTCATCATACCTCTTTCATAATACCTTTTCTTTTGACCATGTTTTAAAAACCCTTTTTTTGATTGATCCCTTCCCCCTCATTAAGTCAAGTGAAGTAAATGAGCATTTATTAAGCACCCATTATGTGCCTGGCATTGTGTTAGACATTAGGGATACATAGAAAGGCAAACAACAAAAACAGAAGGAAAAAAAAAGTCCCTGCTTTCAAGAAGCTTGTAATCTAAGGTTTACTGAATTCTTCCCACTTTTTTTATCCCATCTGTCCATTCCGGGGATAGTTTTCTTCCTGGTTGAATGGGGGTTCCCAGGAAAGTTTGTGTATATTGACCTTTATCTCTATATTATCATGAATGTCTTTATAAGTTATGCAATATATAATGGAGATGTTAAAAGAGTTAAGAGAAAAAGTATGAATTTATGAAATTATAAAAACTTATGAACACTGTACTAAGGGCTTTTAAAAATATCATCTCATTGGATACTTACAATATTTCATGTTTGGGGCAGCTAGGTGGCTCAATGGATGGAGTACTGACGCTGGAGTTAGGAGGACCTGAGTTCAAATCCAGTCTCAGACACTTGACACTTACTAGCTATGTGACCCTGGGCAAGTCACTTAACCCTAATTGCCTTGCCAAACAAAACAAAAAAAAACCTCATGTTTTCTGTGTTTTTGTTTTTTGTTTTTTATCTCTCATATGTAGTACTGTGCTCTGCATGTAATAATATATTTCAGTAACAACAACAATAATAATAACAGGTAGCATTTATATAATGCTTTTAGTTTTTAATGAAGCTTTAGGTTTTCAAAAAGCTTCACATTTTTTATCTCATTTGGTTCATACAACAGCCATGTGAGATAAGTGCTCCCCACTTTACAGATGCGGAGACTGAGAGAAATTAAATGACTTGCTCAAGGTCACAAAGGTACAAATCGTCTGAGCAGAATTTGAACTCATCTTTTTGCATACTATGGAACTGCACAATCTAAAAGGAGATAGCCTTAAAAAAGAAAAAAAAAAAAAGAACACCTGTGTGGTTGACCTGAAGCCCTGTTTTTCTCTTATGCAAGAACAATCATGTCTCATCCCATTGGTCTCTAAGTGACAGGTCATTTCTAATAAGTATCATGTAGCTGGGTTCCAAGTTTTCCCTTCAGGGTTAGAATGTAGCTTTGTGTGATAGGTACGGGCCTTCTTCTGGTATGACTGCAATGCTTGGGCATGGCAGGCCTGTAAGCGCATACAGGAAGTATGTGGTGACCTAAGTGTTTGGTCTTCTAAACTCTAATGACAGTTAATCATTGTCTTAAGGGCCAGGGTAAGAAAGAACTGTGCTGTTTCTGTGCTTTCTATTTTTCCTCCTCTGCTGTCAAGGTTTGTCATCTGATAATTATAGATGGCACAGTAAATACTTCTCCTTGCTGAGCTTCTTGCAGAGGAGTCTTATTTTCAGCTGAATTTCTTTATACCATTGTGTGAAACTAGCGGAACACGAAGGGAATGAATAGATGAGAACGGGAAAGGATATATTTTAGAAATAAGATTGTATAGTATACTGCCTTGGTACCAAATTACAGTAATCATGCTTTTGGAGAAATGAAAGGATAAATAAACTTGAAAGGCATTATGACATGTACTTTTTGGTTTTTCTGTATGTTTCATTTTCTGTGTGATGTACTCAATTTTATTTACTTGCTGAAAGTTGTGAATCTTCTCTGTTCTTTTGCAGACCACCAGAAACTGGAAAGGGAGGCTAGAATCTGCCGTCTTTTGAAGCACCCTAATATTGGTGAGAAAATGCCTTTACCTATCAAGTTTTCCCTTTTCAATTCTAAATTTGACCACCATTTGCTTTGATGCATCATAGCATCTCTACAAATGCATACTAAAACAGGCAGCAGAGGAGTGGATTATAGCAAGGGTAGACAACAATGTTCTTCAGAGGTGTAGGGCTGAGCTTTGAAATTAGCATGAAAAAAAAATTACCAGTATAAAATGGATTGACCTTGTGATTGAAAATTAATTAAAATTAAATGTGATTAAGTCCTAAATCTCAAAATAAAACAGAGAAATATAAAGAAACTGTTTTGACTAAGCAACAAAATAAAGTAAATATTTGACAATTTTATTCTGAAATAGTCAATGTTATATAAGAAAATAAATAATCAGTGTTACGTCACAAAATTAGATAACATTTATATAGTGTAGTAAAGTTTACAAAGTGTTTTATACATATTTTGTTTGGTTCTCACAATAACTCTAGAAGGTAGGTGTTATCATTATTGTCCTATTTTACAGAAGAAGAAACTGAGGTACAAAGAGGTCTAGTGCCTTATGCAGGCTTACAACAACTACCTCTGTGGTGGATAGAGTGGATAGGTCTTAGAAAGACCGGGATTCAGGTCCTACTTTTGATACTTACTGGTTGTGAGGTGGGAAGATCCCTTGGTGCCCTCTCGATGTCCCAGACAACTTTATAACATTAAATCTCAGAGCAGGTGATGATCTGGGTAGACATTTTTTTCACTGGTGGTTCTCTAATGGGCAGCTAGGGTAGTGCTGTGGATAGAATGCCAGAGCCTGGAGTCAGGAAGACCCAAATTCAAATCCAGCTTCAGACACTTACTAGCCTTGGGAATTTGGACACATCACTTAACCCTGTTTGCCTCGGTTTTCTCATCTGGAGCTGGAGAACAAAATGGCAAACCACTCCAATATCTTTGCCACAAAAACTCCAAATGGGCTCACAGAGAGACAGACACAGCTGAAACAATTGAACAACACAAATAAATCCTCTGTAACAGTGAAATCATAGGTCTGGTTTAAAAACAAAAACATTAATATTTTCTGTAAAACATATTGTGAACCTTTGTTAATACATTGGTTAATGCATTTGGTGAATTATGGCTTTAAACAGTTGATCATTCTCCATGTGTAGGGGTGAGATAAATCACCAGGAGAGATGGATTAGAGGCAGATCTGAGTGTTTACCTAATGTTCATCAAGCTCATGTCTCTTCTATGAGATTAATTCCCTGCACCAGCTATCCCAGATGGATCACACTATAGCCATTGGAACTGGCATTGATTAGGATTCTCTCTCCTCCATCTTCCTCTTAGATTCATAGAATGTCAGCTTTGGAGATGATCATCTAGTCCTTTCTGTCTTTCATTGGTTGTCCCCAGAAACCATCTATGCCCACTTCATGCTTCTCTCCTTGGTCAGAGGATTTCCACTTCCACTGAAGGGGTGAAAGATTTCTGGCATCCCCAGTTAGAACTCCAAGTACATTTGTTTTCTGTAGGAACAGTTTTCAATATTCCCTCCACAGATGTGGATCACAAACCTTCCAGACCTTAAGAGATGGTTTGTGTGAGTTGAATGAAGAAATACTTACCCCCCCCAACCACTAGCCTTCTGATAATGAGTCTCTCGGCACTTTGCTAGGCTAGTGCTCAGATAACAGTGTGCCATCCCCTTGGGGAGGGGGCAGTGTGGGGGTGAGGGATGGGACCTACCAAGATTTGTCATACCTTCTGAAAATCCAGGCCCACCTCTACACCACAAATAAGTCACATGAGTAAAGCTTTTGTGGAATTACATTTATTGTTATCTCATTTTGTGGGCTGGCCTGAAAACCTAACAACCATGAATCTCGTTGTTCCTTTGGGGAACATATAATCCATATTAGAAGCAACTGACTTAACAAATGAACTTCATGAAGACAAGCTATTTGTAAATTAGGACTTGTAAATTATATAAAGACAATTAGATTGAGAATCAGACTTGTTTTCTCATTCTGACTTATGTAAGTAATTAGCTTTGTGACATTAGATAAGTCAGTTAACATTCCTTTATAGAGTGAAGAAATCAGACTAGATAGTTTCTGAGGTTTTAATATCTTGGGCTTTAATACCTTGTGATTCATAGTATTTTAACAAGGTGAATCTCTGAACCACACAGTTCCAAACATCTCTTAAGCAGTTAGATATGCCAGGTACTGTTCCAGGTATTGGGAGTATTATGACTGTAATGAGAGAAATCCTGCTGTCAAAAAGCCTGCATTCTATCAAAATCTTTACATGTAATAGAAATAAGATGTAACTGGGGGAAGGTACTTACATCTGGTGCATACAGGAGAAAATATATGGTGTGGGTGGCATTTGAATGGAAAATTTTGATTAGTTAGAAAGTGTTAATTGTTTAGGTGAGTAGAACCTTAGTGGTAGACAGAGTTGGCATGGCTTTGAAAGAGGAGGAGATGCAGAAGGAAAACATTGATTCCCTCCAGCAGGTGAAGAGGTTTCTAGATCACTAAAGAAAAGCTATATTTTTCATACTGTTATCAAAACAAACCATCCATTGAGAATGCCCCAGGAAGTAGCTGCCTAGGCGGTGAATATAAATCTTGGATGTAGTTGGGAGTTTGTCCAAGAGCAGCTATTCATAGACATAGAGGAAAGATGCACCCTGGTGTCTGTGAACCTAACAGTACATGAAGAGTACAGCGCTATTGATATTCAGAAAAAAAATGCAGTAGCTGTGTTAACATTCTATTCCTTCCTGGTTCCCCCATGTTGTGCTACTGCCTGAAAATACACCATATCCAATGGAGAGCCAGAGTACAAATATTTTTAAAGTATAAAGAATAAACAAATGTGATTCATATAAGCCCCAGTTTACATATGACAACTTCACTCAAAACTTATTTCATGAATCTACCAGTTTAATGAAAGATCATTCAGAATGAGGTGCATAAGGGCTTTCACCCATAGGCCTCCTTTTTATAGATAAGAATCATTGAAGGACTTGGAATATAGTGCTATTGTATAACGACATAGTGCCTTTGTCATATTGTAATATTGGTGTCGGAATTTTTTTTTTCTTTAGGTGAAGGCAGTTATTTCTGAAAGCATTATACCTGAGGCTAATGTTCCTGGGATTATCTGGGGAGATGTAGCACTAATTATCACTCTTAAACTCATGTGCTTCCTCCAATTACCCAAGTCTTTCTGTTGAAGCCACAAATAACTGGCATAATTAAGTTCTCTTATAATCAAGAAAGATTCAATTATTATTTTAAAATACCTCCTTTTATTCATGGCTGACGCAAAGGGGACAGGAAAGAGCTGAACTTAGTTTTATGTAATTATGAAGTTTTTATTGGCAAAAACAGATGCTTACTGTTTCTTAGCAGCAAGCACTTGAGTTCTTGGCCAAATGGAGAGCCGTTCTGGGGCAAAAATGAATTTGTTTACCTTGGGTTTTTTTTTTTACTGTTTAAATAACATCTTTTTTTTTTTTCTTGCACTTTTTTTATTTAGATTACAAAACTGAGGAGTTAGTTAGCTGTGTGTCTTTGGGCCAGTCACTTAGCTTTTCTGTACCTATGTATATCAATTTCATGTATACCAATGTTGTAAAGATAAAATAAAATTGTAGATGTGAAAGTGGTTCTAAAAGCATAAAGTTCTATACAGTGGCAAGGTATTATTGTCATCTTTAATTCAGAGACTGTCAGTATGTATCTCTGAGGGTTTACAGGCTGGTGCTAATGAAATATAAAAAGGTATGAATGTTATGCTGATGAATCTTTTGGCCAAGTTTCCTTTCCTCGTTATTCCAAAGAACAGAATGTTCACAGTTATAGTCCTAGTTTTCCTGGACCTAGATTTAGAAGTATTACCTATCCCCTTTTATAAATCTTGGTACTCTGTATAGCATTTTAGAACAATGCTATGATCTGAACTTTAGTTTGCACTGTTGTTTTTAGAATTAGGGAATGTGAGTGAATGAGTTAAGTATCAAGAACTATTAAAGTGGTTTCCTAACTCATATTCCCATCTCTAGGCTCTCTCCTCTCAAATTCAACCTCCACATAGCCGGTAAAATGATATTTTTTTTTTCCTTCCAGCTCTATATCTTTTTTTAAAAATTAATTTATTTTGATTTATCAACTGTCACTTCCGTAAGTTTTTGAGTTCTAAATTTTTCTCCCCCTCCCTCCCCACCTCCCTCACCAGGAGGGCACGTAATCTGATATAGGCTATACGTATACATTCCTATTAAACATATTTTCACATTAGTCATATTGTAAAGAAGAATTAGAACCAACAGGAGGAACCACCAGAAAGAGGAAACAAAACAAAGCAGAAGAAAAAAAAAGAGCAAATAGTATGCTTCAATCTGCAGTCAAACTCTATAGTTCTTTCTTTGGATGTGGATAGCATTTTCCATCATGAGGCCTTTGGAGATGTCTTAGATCTTTGTATTGCTGGGAAGGGTTAAGTTTATCAATATTAGTCATCGCACAACATGGCTGTTATTGTGTACAACGTTCTCTTGGTTCTGCTCATTTCACTCAGCATCAGACCATACAAGTCTTTCCAGGTTTTTCTGAAGTCAGCCTGTTCATCATTTCTTATAGCACAATAGTATTCCATTACATTCATATACCACAACTTGTTCAGCTATTCCCCAATTGATGGGCATCCTTTCAATTTCCATTTTTTTGCCACCACAAAAAGAGCTGCTATGAATTTTTTTGTACACGTGGGTCCTTTTCCCATTTGTATGATCTCTTTGAAATACAGCCCTAGAAGTGCTATTTCTGGGTCAAAGTGTATGCACATGCAAAATGATATCTTTTTTTTTTTTTCAAAATGATATTCTTAAAGCACATGTCTATCTGTATGTCTTCTCTGATCAAAAAGTTCTGGGCCCATATTGCTCCTCTGTTTGACATTTAATGCCCTCTATAGCTAGTTCCAGCCAAATTACTCCCCTTCT